AGACTGTCAGAGTCCTGCAGTCTGTCAGAGTCCTGCAGTCTGTCAGAGTCCTGCAGTCTGTCAGAGTCCTGCAGTCTGTCAGAGTCCTGTAGACTGTCAGAGTCCTGTAGACTTTAGGTCCAGGTGTTGTGCAGACACTCAGGTCTACAGGAGGACAAACAGAGGCTGTATGTATTCAGTGAAACTCAGTCTGTTTGTCCTGATCTGTCRTCTTTGCTGGTGTTTGTAGTCTTGGGGGAGGTGGTCTTTAATCCTGCCCTGTAATCCAGGCAGATTGGTTTGCTGCCAGCCTCACATTAACTCATCAGTAAAAACCCTCCGGCTGTAAACCTGCAGCTGGAATCTTTAATTGACAGCGTTTTTAACGACCACCTTCACTAATGAGAGGGAGCCYCTGATTGGCCGTCACATCCTCACATCTTGATTGAGTTCTCAGCATGGCTCCTTTGATGTTCAGGAGCGAGGAGCTGCAGCAGCGTGGAGGAGGCGTGGAGGCCACAGAYTGTGTGTCAGAGGCCTGTTCTGGCTCCGCTCAGCCGTCCTCATTGTTGTCCTCCCTCTCTTCTTCATGTGAGAACTTTCAGACGTTCTTATCAGCTGCTGCTGCTGCTGCACAGGAGGGAAACAGCTGCTCTCGCTCTTCCCCTCATTCTTTCCTCACATATTTATTATAAACCACAGCTACTGTAACGCTGGGGTCACACTGAACACCTTTATATGCAGTCTATGGTGGACACATGTCTAGGGGCAGCACGGATCATCAAATCTGTTTAGTGCGGCGCGCAAGGTAGCAGAAGGTGTGGTAGAGCAACCAATCAGAGAGACTAACTCTTCCACATGACCGTTTCCTGAATGATGCCCACTAACCTGAAACAGCAGCTCTTGAGCTGAAATGGACCGTCTACAGTTGGTGTTCTGTCTGGAGATATCAGCACCGATGTGGGTCAGCAGCTCGTTAAACTGACCGCGGTGTTAAACTGGGCTCAGGACAAAAAATAGTTCATCAGCTCACAGGTCCTGGAGTGGATCTCACCAAACAAACCACCTCTAAATCATCTGGTGAATTAATTATCTGCTGAATTAATTATCTGCTGAATTAATTATTTGGTGAGCTCAACGTTCACTTGCTCTCAGTAAATAGAGCAAAGTCATTTTCTTTATCTTTATTTCACCCGTCATTAAAGACAGACCGGAAAAAACCAAGACGCTCCTCAATCAATCAATAAATCAATCAATCAAAACTTTATTTATATAGCACTTTACAAACCCTAAGGCAACCAAAGTGCTGCACAGCAAACAATAAAATAAAAACAGTAATATAAAAGCATAACAATCACAACTTCAAAAACAAAACAGAAGGTAGGAAAAAAAAAATAGAGAGAGCGAGACTAGGCTATTACATGTTCTCTCTGGAGTTAAAAACCAAACCAAAAAGATTGGTCTTTAAAAGAGATTTAAACTCAATAAGTGTTCTGGCAGACCGCACAGAAAGAGGGAGACTGTTCCAAAGTTTAGGAGCCACAGCTGAGGAGGCTCTGGCCCCTTTATTCACCAGCCGGGTCCTGGGAACCACCAAAAGCATCTGATCCTCAGATCTTAGAGCTCTACCTGGATGGTAACTGTGTGGAAGCTCAGAGAGGTAACCAGGTGCCAGACCATTTAAACATTTAAAAACCAAAAGTAAAACTTTAAAAACAATCCTAAAAGAAACAGGCAGCCAGTGAAGGGAATGCAATACCCGGGTAAAGTGCTCAGATCGTTTGGTCCCCGTTAACAAATGTGCAGCAGAATTCTGAACCAASTGAAGACGGTATGATTAACCCTCTCTAGGGTATCATGTGGAAGATAAGGCTTAACTTTACTGATGAGCCTTAAATGATAAAGACTAGACCGGACCACTGCGCTGACCTGCCTGTCAAATTTAAAGTTACTGTCTAAAAGAACTCCAAGGTTCCTAATAAAATGACAATCWAAATCCAAATAGCCAACAGCTCTGTTAAATCCTACCAGCAGGTCAGTTTTGCCAAACCCAATGACCTCTGTTTTATTTTCATTTAGACAAAGAAAGTTTAGCTCCATCCAACTTTTAACGTCCTTTAAGCAGTTCTGCAGATTCTCCACATGCTGAGGTCCACCAGATCTTAAAGGTAAATAAATCTAAATGTCATCTGCATAAAAATGATATGACATTTTTGTATTTCTTGAAGAYGGACCCTAGTGGGAGCAAATAAATAGAAAATAAAATGGCGCCCAGTATGGAGCCTTGAGGTACCTCCCTCCATCTTGAGGCGTCAGGCATGTTTTAGATGCTCAAAACGTGTTTGGTGTGAACGTAGCATGAAGGGCTCGACACACAGGTGACAATCGTTCGCCCTCCTTCAGCCAAGCGACCGGCGAAAATCGTGCATGTGAAATTTTGTGCTCGTAAACAGACGTGCACACGCGAGACTGTGACGCGGCATATGAAAGTTGAAAAATGTTCGACTTTTGTCGCTGTCGTTTAGCGTACAACCAATCAGCGAGGGTTTCATTGACTGACCAATGAGAGGACAGTATGCTACACACTGCAGTTAGCTAACACTTTCGTTATTCTAGCTTTGTCAAATTTTCCAGTTTTATATGACCCTTCACCAAGTGATTACTAAAAAAGTAGCTCTGTGGGAATTTGTTGGTGCCAGGGTGAAGTTATCTGGTAGGACTTTCCTCATAAAATTGTATCTTGGTGTGTGTTTTTCAACATCATTAGCATCGCAAGATTTGTTAAGTTTACATGTCCGTAATGTACACCCCCTTTTTTGTGAA